AAGAATAAATAAATGTATTATAAAATATATTGATATTACTCAAAAAAAATATAATATATCATCTACACCGTACCCTCAGGACACGACTCATTTGCCGTTATTCATAATAAGAGCCAATCTGTAGACGGGGCCACACTGTTTGAATATTCACCACTGAAAGTATCGTGTACGAATCGTGGGATCGAGTTGGCCAAGCTTGAAATAATTCCTTCGGAAATGCTATTAATCTTGTCTTTATTAGGCTTTTTAAACTGGTGTTGAATCTCGGAAATTAAAAAAGGACTATATTAGGGAAATCCTCAAGAAACATCTCGTAAAATAACAGTATTTAATGCTTTCGTGGTTTATTTCAAGATACTAGACTATAACATTGGACGAAAAAAGAGCCAAATAACCATAGATATTATAGACCCCTAACGTAAACAACTGATTAAATGTCACGGGAAATTTAATTCAAACACTAAGAAATGCCTGCAGAAATTCAGATAAAATAATCGAAAATTTTGATTTACCCATACCCTATAAAGCATATATTTAAGAATATACTGTTGTAATCTAAAACTTTAAACGGTGACGTGGGTATAGATCTGAAAGTTAAAGAAGTCCCGAGCCAGAAATATCCAAGCTACAAAGATTCAGTTGAATTCCGTTTTGTTTAGGTGATGTCACGTATTAAGCCGTTTACGTACGCTTTTTCAATCCAAACTGRGGGCAGTAAAATGTAACACCCGAAGGAATTATTTCACGTCTTGTCCAAATCGATCCCACGATTCGTACACATCAAAATATTTTCAGTGGCAATAAATATCCAAAAAGTATCATTACGAATAACGCCAAATGAGTCGTGCCCTGAGGTCAATGTCTAGATGAGTAACATGTAGATGATATATTTTTATCTAGAACTGAAATTAAGACTTATTAGAAAATTACTTCACGTCTTGGTGAACTCGATCCAACGATTTATATACATCAAGATATTTTCAGTTGGTAAATATTCAAACAGTCTGACATCTAAAGATCAGCTATTATTACGAATAACGCCAAATGAGTCGTGTCCTGAAGTCACGGTGTAGATGACATAATATATTTTTGTGTAATATTTATCATTTCTATTTATTTTTTATTTTATCTTATTTTATTTTATTTTTTGGTCCTATTATATATATACGCATTTTAGTTGTTTTTTTTTTTAGTCCGGGTCCGGGTCCGGGTCCGGGTCCGGGTCCGAGTCCGAGTCCGAGTCCGGGTCCGGGTCCGAGTCCGGGTTTAGGGGTATGCCTTGTTCAAAGCCCGATTAGTGCTAATCCTGGATTAACTCTTAATAAGAGCTATAGAGATAATCCTGGATAAGCGCTAATGCAGCTTTGAACAACCCGGCCCAGTAGACTTCTTTTGTCCATGAGTTCTAAGTCATTGAGAACTTGTTTTTTTTTTTTAAGCTAATCTGTAGACCATATCTAGAACAAGTGTTATGAGAGAGAAAATGAATGTTTTTACAGACTAAGCTAGACATCAGTTTTTTAATTACTATTTCTTATCATATGAAAACGAGATAAAGAACGATGAATTAGTTATTGAAAATATCAATATAAGATTTCAGTAAGGCTACCATCACGCACACGTTTAGATGATGGTATGCTTTGAATTTACAAGTAAACCTCTTAGCTCCTCCCATTAGCATGTACACCTCTGGTTACACCCTAAACACTCTTTCCCCCTTTGCTTAGTTATTTTGGCACTATTCTTTTAAATCTTATGATATAATTATTCCTCGTAGACCTTTCTATACATTTACCAAATACTCATATGATATCTTTAGTTTGAGCTATGTTTAGTTCTATGATTTTCACTCGTATTACTATAATAAGATATCACACTTAGGAATTTACTATTTCCATTAGCCAATCAAGACTCAGCGATAATATCATATTGATTGTAGAATGACACCTGTCATGAAGTTATTATAAATAGAGCTCATGTAATTAGTTTAAGTCAGAAGAGCAGATAGAGTATAGAAGAAGAGAAAGTAGAATAAAGATCCCAAGTAGCTCTTACCGAGAGCGAGCCATCCCATAACATTGGTGGAGACCCGTGGTTTCTGTGATCTCCAATCCCATAACACAAGTAGGGAGAATAAGAGAAAAATATCAAATGCCCATGGCAGGATTCGAACCCACGTCTTCGGTATTCTAGTCCGATGTGTTAATTAACCACTACACTACAAGGACCAACCACGCTGGTAACGCAGCCGGAATAGAATCTTTTCGAATTCCAAATTACCGCTGTGTTTCTTGATTACAGACTCATTTGCACAGGGTTAGCTTCGAGTTTGTGCACAATATTCACGTGTTCCAGTCAAGGCCCATCGAATTTCAAAGTGTTGTCTTGTTGAAGTTGTGCATTCTTTAATTTGCCGTTGGTATTTGTGAATATTTAAACACTGATACGAAGCTAACCCTGTGCAAATGAGTCTATAATCAAGGAACACAGCGGTAATTTGCAATTCGAAACTGGTCTATATGAAATTTAGTGTATTCTAGAACAAGTTGTGTATGCAATATCCAAAATAGCCTGTAAGTTAGAAAGATCCTTTGAGAAAATTGCAACATCATCTGCACATAGTAGCCATGTAATCATTTCAGTTCCATTCATGCGGCCAGTGTTCGTTGAGGGGAAAAACCTAATAATTTTTTAAACTACCCTGTTTTCCCCCAACTGGTCTTGATTGAAATCTCTGAGAAAACAAAACGAACTTTTCTCTTTCATAGGAATACATTAGGTACGTATTCCTCATTTCCCAGATGGCAAAATTTGTATTTTTTCCGGAAAGAATAAGAAGTTTACCCTTATAAAAGCTTAAGGTCCGCTCATCTATCTCCTTTTGCTTTAAAATTCCATGTGAATGTTTTTTTTTTAATTAAATGGAGACCACTTTCCATATATCGTAGTTATCGTAGCAAAACTAGATATCGCTCATTCTTTAATAATAAAAGTGATGATAATATAACAAATTAATCAATGGAAAATCTGCTTCAAAGGGTGGTCCTTACAAAGTCCTCAGGCAACTTAGACCTTGGAATTTGGAGCACGAACGACGAGGCGGTTAAAAGTACTATAGCTAAGGCGGGCTCTCAGTCACTACACCGCTATAAGACCTATAAGACCTGTAAGACCATGGTACGCTGGGATCTCTGGTCTGCCAGCTCGTTTATTGGTTGCTCTACAAAGTAGCCAAATGATTACGAGTACAGTGGCTGTCATTAAGGATTGCTTACTCGACCACTAAGTAATGTAATCATGCTAAATCATACGAAAATACATGTTCAATTGAAAAAAATTCTTATTTCCTAACTATTGCATACCGTACGTAACCATCCGTGCTTCCAATCTCAAACGCGGTTTCTTTAAAACTAATAAAGATACATGGTTTTGTCTTCAAAACAACTACTTACCAAGAACAGAAGCGTGAAGGATATAAATTCCAAGCCACAAGAAAAAAGAACGTCTCATCATCACCTAGCGGCTGTTGGGAGAATTCCTTGATATGGCAGGTAAAGGATTATGAGTGAGGCTGACTTCGTACATCAGCACTTTAATAGTATGAAAGATATATAAAGTCATCAATAATGGATTATTTATAATTATGATTATTATTATTCATAATTGGAAATGCAAAGCTAGTGTGTGCAATTATAGTTTTCAATTGAAATAAATTTGTCTCAATGCTAATGTATTTTGGTTTTCCTTTTCTTCAGTCATAATTGCAAAGTTTTTAAGAGTACATGTCTGTAAACCGTATGTTTGAATCTTACAGACATTCGCTCTTAAACCATACTAAGGTTGATGTTTATGCAGCAAAGCTAGACTTAAGTCAAAAATCACAGTAAATATTCTCAATAGCTGCATTGTCACGCACAAATTACTGGAGTTCATCTTGACCGCTGAGTCTTGAAAAACATTGTAAATATTAATGACTGTTATCAAGAGAAAATTAGCTAGTTCATTTTCTCTTAGTGTTATTTTTTACCTATTCACCGCTTCTTCTCCTTGTTTTCCCCGTCCGTCTCCCTCTCGCTGCCTTGCCGCCCCCAGTAAATCCACAAAAGAGATCCTTTGAAAACCGAGGGTATTTTCACTGCCATCTTTCTTTCGAAAATTTGTCAAGATGGTAATATCAAAAATTAAATATCTCGAAAACTTGTGAAGAAACTTCCGTTTGCCTTTTTTCTTTTGAGCCAAATATTAAGTTCTTTGTAGAAAAGTAGCTTTAGAAAGTCATTATGTAATATATTTTTGCTAGAGTAGTCTGAAAACTCTCTGAAAAACAAATATGAGTTTTAAATTCAGCTCTTTCAGTAATTCTCATTTATTATTTATTATATTCCAGAACTTTTCTAATCAATGAAGTGTTTTTGGGTTGTTTTAAATCATTTCTAACGTTTTAAAGATTACTTCAACCCTAAGTTTAACGATAAATTTTGTCGAGCTTTTTCGACCTAAGCGATCATCAAAACTATTGATAATTTAGGCTTGAAGTAACCGTTGAAATATTAGAAATAAATATTCTGAGTAGATGTTCTGGAAGAAGGTCTTTATAAGTAATGCCTCTCTACGGTTAGTTAGTCAGCTGTCGCACAGCTTACGGTTAATTTTCATGCTTTGCAGTAATTGAAAATTGAAATTTTGTCTATATCAATGCTTGAATTCCTTTGCAAAAATCCTCATGCTTTAAATATTGATGGTCAGTCAGTTCAATTAAGTACTATGGACGACACGTAAGAACGTCCTTATTACCGGAGACTTTAATGCAAATTTACTACTAAATTCAGATACTTATGGGGAAAAAACTTCGTCGGTTTACAGCTACAAAAATGTGATAAAGAAACCAACTCGTACAACTGAAACTACAAATATTTTGTTGGATTTGATACTTCAGTGACTCCTCTAAAATTAGAGATGCTGATGTATTGGATTTTGCAATTGCTGACCATAAGTTTATCTATGCTGTTTACAATTTAATTCCAAAGAAACAAAATCCTTTGATTCTGAAATCGCAAAGCTTTAACTATAGATACTGCAAAGGGATAAAAAAAGATGTTTATTTCGGGATGGATCTTTTGTACGGTGTCACCGCAGCAATGTCATTCAAAAGAAAACATAAAACGTGAGTAGAGGATTTTACGTGAGTTCAAATATTTATCTGTTTTAGTATTTTTAACACGAATGAATTTAATAAAATAGAGATTTTTGTTACGTTTTTTTCAAATGTTATTTATCTCCGCAAGCGGCACAAATCGACAAATCGACAAACGAGCGTGCGCGTGTGCGCTATATTCACCTGTAGATGAATATAGTTGCATAAGTCGTAAATTGTGACCAATGAGCGCGCCGGATTTATTATATCTATTGTGCACAAATACTAGATTTATTTTATGGCATTGGAAAAAATTGCCCATACATTTGGAATATTTGCTCTTTTCTGTCTTTTTCCTCTCTTTCCAAAGCAAAAGGTTGTTCTGAAAAGGAAAGTTATATAGCACAAGTAAACTGCGTGACACAACAGTCTAAATGACCCTAAATCTTCTGTTCTTTCGCTAACTACTTTAGTTAGCGTGTTTTCGAGGCTACGAAACCTAAGAAACCATAAGAGGCGAATGTATAGGCCAACAGATAGTATGAGCTTATAAAATCAGCAAAAATACGAATATAAATTTTACCAAATGCCTATGAATTATATACCAAAATGTTCAGGAAAGCCCGGGGTTTTCAAATCCACTTCTGTTTTTTTGACAGGTTCTGTTTTGTTTTAAGGAGAGACGATTTTTTAGCTTGACCCCGGTTATGTCATGAGTTTTCTCTTGTAAAATACACCCAATAGCGTACATTCAACTCAAAAAGTACGGTGTTTTTTTTCCAATAGAATTCAATCTAAACCATATAATACAGTCCTTGAATAGCTGAATTAACTGAATCCACTTCTGTTTTTTGCCGCTACAGATAGTCATTATTTTGAGAAAAGATCCAAAAACCGTGTTTTTGAGAAATAATTTGTGTGGGCTCACATGAGGGGGCGTGAGCTTGAAATCGTAGCCGACCAAATGTTAACAGATTTTTTAAGTACTACCTGTGGTGTAACGGAAGATGAAATACCACAGGAAGCCCAAGATACTCCTAAATAAGGTAAAGGGATCTAAATCAGGTTAAGGGATACTAATTAATCAGGTAGGGGATACTCCTAAATCAGGTGAAGGGATACCTCTAAATAATTAGGTTACTCTTAAATACGGCCATTTGAAAAAAGGATACTCTTAAATACGATCATTTGAAAAAAGGATACTCTTAAATACGGTCTTTTGGAAAAAGGATACTTTTAAATATGGTCATTTGAAAAAAAGCACGACGCTTTTTGTTGTGTTTTAGAAAGCCTTCTATTAAGATACGCACGAGCTGGGCAGGGATTGGATGGTAGTAGTTTTTAATTTTCGCCCAGTTCCCAACTATATGATGCTTCGGCTAGAACATTTTCTTGCGTAATTCGTACACCCAAGGGCAGAAGGATTTAATCGCCGTCAGGTCCGAAGTCCATACGCCGCCTCAGCTCTGCGGATGTCTCGGGGGTATGGCAAAGTAGAATCATTTTTTAAATCTTCTTTCATACAATTTTCGAAGGGGGGTTCGAACCCCATTGGATCCAGATAATATTTTTCATAAAAAAAATATATCATCATGAATTTGAATATTAAAAAAAAAAAGTGATTATCTTATTAAGTTTTTGTCATATTCCAATTTAGAATTAACAATTAATTACACAAAATATTAATTATTGCTCAACCCATCCCGAATCCTCTCTTTACATTTCTATAATGGGACACATAGAGTTTGCTTTCACGACAGTGACGCAATTAAAACCACCATAAAAAAGTGTGGTGCGTTATTTCCATTGTTATGAAACTGAAACGATTATTGCGCAATTCAAGCTCGAAAGTACGGCTCATCTCAAGGTCAAGTGCGGATCGGTTGAGGTAAGGGATACTTCTACATGAGGCTAAGGGATGCTCCTAAATCAGGTGAAGGGATACTCCTAAATCAGGTGGAGGGATACTCCTAAATCAGGTGAAGGGATACTCCTAAATTAGGTGAAGGGATACTCCTAAATCAGGTGAAGGGATACTCCTAAATCAGGTAAAGGGATACTCCTAAATCAGGTGAAGGGACAACCTGGTTGCTCAACAAAATAGAGAGTAGAATGCTAAAATAATCCAGATTCTTGCAAAAGTGATGAGCACTCGATATATGGTTGTCCCAGTAACGTCTCTTCGATGACAATACGTGAGTACGCGTTCCATCCAGTATACGCATTGGCGTCCCCATAATCAGCACAATTACCCACCCAGAATCCAACGCGTACTTGACCCTTGACTGCAATGTTATTGCAGTATCCCTCGATGTGGCGATGACGGTGAAGATCTTGACTGATACTCATGTATGTAACTCCTTCTATTGTTGCTGGTCCGCTGCATTCTGAGCCATTGAATGTGAAGTACCATCTCTTGCAACAGGCTGTACAGCTCTCAATGCGTAGCGTGCCGTCAAAGAATACACGAAGTGACGTGTCGGCTTTATTCTTGTTAAAGACACATTCCTAAGAGAGAAAAAAGATAACTCCAGTTTTGATTTATCTCATGCCGTATGCTGCTTTTGAGTGTTAGCCTCGATTTGTTGTAGAATATTCACGTGTTGCATTGAGGGTATGTAGAATTTCAAAGTGATTTTATTATTGAATTATTGCATCCTTCATTCACCGTAGCCTCCTCCGCAGTTTAATAGCTTATCTGCTTTGGCGGGGCTTCTCTCCTGTTTCTTGGGCCGGGCTACCTGTGGCGTAGAGACACTATTTACACCGTTCTTACCCGTATTTCTATTAGTAGTGTAGGTCTGGCGGCACACGAAAAGGCGATGCCCTATCAAACTGCAAACCCCATTGACGTCAACTCAACCAAGTTTTCAACTTCACATCAACAGGTCGAAAACTGTAGGTTTTTTCCCAGACGGAGAAAGAAAAATCAACGCGCCTGCGTTTTGAAAGAAGGCTGCGATGAAAAAGAAAGGAAAAACTTGCGCACGAGGGAAGGGACTAAGGGGATGACAGCCTTGAGCCTCAGTAATCCGAGCAGTAATTAGACTCCTGTTCAAGACTGCCACTTCAGAGCGCTGCAAGGGAGGAAGAGAGGCGAATCGAATGAAAAACTGAGATCAACGATTGAATTAAACAAACAAAGTTTTGTTGTGAATGGAAAGCACTACGTTAATATGGAAGTACATACATGAAAACCTCGGGGTTGGGGGGGGG